AATCTTTCTATGTATCTAATATGTGATGCTGAATATGGCATGGTAATCTCATGTTGTGAATCTGAAGATTTTATGTGTTTTACCATATTTAGTTAGAACAGTGATATAAGTATATATTTTACTATGTTATAGACATTTTATGCTGGTGATGGGAAAGTACTTTATAGTTTTAAAAAGCAATAATGAAGTGTAAGAGTAATCAATTCCTTCTAAAATATGAAAATATAGTTTAATTAGATATGCCTTTCTGTTTTATATCATGCGTTGTGGATTTTTTTTAGTCAATGTACAAATTCTGTTCTATATTTTGGAGCCTCTGTTGTAGCCACATATATTACTTAGGAATTTATTGTTTCCATTAAGAAAAAAAGTTTTCTAAGGCAGACTCATCGCCTCTAGAGCTTCACCTCATTTCAGATCAGTATTTCTTTGTTCCATATGGTCTTGTCACATTTTAATTTTTTGTTCTCTATCAAGCTTTAATAACTTGGTTGTTGACACTTTTCAACCTTCACACTGTTCTCATTGGCCTTTTCTCCATTTTTGCAGATGTATTTTAGTGATATTCAGATCTTTAATCACATTCAGTAGCAATAATACTCTTCTGTCTTGTCACACTGAAATTCTTTATATAATAGTCACAAATAACAGTATGAGACAGCTTATCAGTAGCATTTTTTTATTTTCAATTTTTATCTTCTTGCTTTCTTGAATCTTGCAGTGCTTCTGATTGGCAATGAATATTGCTCTGGGGAACATCTATTGTACATGTGCAAGAATTGGCTGCATACTTCCATCGTATTTGCTATTTTATAAAACCTAGCCAGCTGAACAGTTTATTCTCCAAATAGTTCATGTAGATACTTCCTTTCAAAATCCAGCTTTCTTAGCAAGTCTGCTAGATGGTGACGTATGCTTTAACCCAATGACGCCGGGTGTACTAAAGGAAAATAAAACTCTACGCTCTGGCAAACAAAGGCAGCGCGCCGACTTTGAGCGCCGGAGTACAGGGCGTCAGCCCGAATCACTGGCTCGCCGCGCTTTGGCGCGCCGCCGGCTGGTTTGGCCGCACGCCACCTTTCGAGCGATTTGTTTACACGCGTATCGCCGTCACCCGGCGGCAAGGGGTTAACATTATACTAAATGCTATATACTAAATGCTAGATTCCTGAATCCTCATCGCAGTTCTAGTTTCAGTAAAAATAGTTGCTGTATTTTGTGTATAACATTTAACTGTATTTGTGTACTAACTGGATTTTTTTTCTGTTCATGATTCTGTACTTGAAAAGATACAAGTATTTGAATATTGGATGTGTAAAGTGTCCATAGTGAATTGGTTCAGTTTGTGCTTTTAAGTGTTTTTATATTATAGTAATGACAAAGTAGAGTGAAATGAAAAACAATAATGTGAAATAAGATATATAAAATGTTGAAACTTTTGGAAGTTATTACAGATGTTGTCAGTTGTTAAAATTTATACTGATGTAGAACTGGATATGAAAAGGTTATTTTTATAGAGACCATTTTTCACAATTTCATTCCATCATGTAGCCTATGCATGGCAGTCAGTCATTTCATGTAAGAAAAAATGAATAAGATAGTACATATGCAGTTTATACACATATATATTAATTTTAGATGAAGTTGTTATAAAAAAAAACAAAAAAACTATATACTCATTATGATCTGTTGCAGCTACATGACTATTGTAGGGCATAGCATATTTCCGTAATGCCCCCCAAAATCGCACATTTTATTATTCAGTTTCTTTTTTTCCACACGGCTAAATGGTTTGATTATATTCTGAGCAGAAGTTCACATTTTCACAATCCATTACAAAACATCCAGTTATTTTTGTATCACTTTGTAAGGAAATTTTGCTTGCATAAATTGTGTTCAGACAATATAATAACAGTTATCATGACTAGTACAGAAACTAGGGTAATTTTTTGGAAAACATTCATATATAAAATTTTATAACTGTATAATAAAATCATTTAAAAATTAATTTATTTGTTTCTTTAACACCCACACTTCACTTTTGTTATGGTATAGCATATACTTTGTCATGTATTAAGAGACTCATTTTACGTTAATTTAAATACTGCAAAGACAAAGTGTTTTCATAAATTTATGAAATATATGGACTGTTGTATATTTTTTAAACTATTTTTCCCTGCTTCGTTCCTTGCATCATGTAGCCTATGCATGACCTTTGATTTTATTGCTTATATCTCTTTTTTATTTGTTCATATTACATGTGTAAGTGTGTCTCAAATTCAAGTACTGTTTTTGTTAGCCTTTTAGCCTTTTAAAACAAAATTGTCAAAGATCACATAGTTTCTTACTACAGAACTTGTATGGGATTTTCATTTTTTAACATTTAGATACTACGATTTGTAGAGCATACCATTTTTAATTAAATCAAATATAGATTAAAATAAAAATTAAAAATGTAAAACTACGGCAAACTCTAATACGTGGGTAATGCCATCATAACTTAACTTTAAAATTTACCTCAAAATGGCTGCTAAACATTTATTTCTTTTAGATGATCCCTGTCTTCACTTTAGCTGTTGTTACCCAATTGGAAATATTTAATTGTATCTGGGGACTAATTGTGAATAAATTTGTGTGCATGAAAGTCATCCCCCTTTTTAATTACCTTGCAAGTGATTAACTTTATTAATCATTTATATCCTAATGCTGTGACCACATGATAGAGCACTGCCAGTAGGACACTAAGGCACTAGCCATTATCAGGTGAGTGTTGCAAACAAATGGCAAAAATGTCTGCCAAAAGCTGAGAGAAAAGTGGAATCGTCAGACACTGGCTATACTGCACTTCCCTTGCTCTTTGTTGTGGGGGGCTTTGGAAATAGGGACTGAGGCCCAGTGCAGGGTTAACTTATAGTTAGTTAACTTATTTTTGCTGTTTTCGCCATAATACTTTGTCATAATGGTCCCTACTCCCTTAACTCCTTCCCCCTTCCACCATTATATTCTACTATAACTCCCCCCCCCCATCCCTTGCTTCTTCTTGTCATGGGGGGGGGGGGGTTGAAGGAGACTACCTTGCACCTCAGCCATCGCTTCTACTAATTTTGTATGGTCTTTCTTTCTCTCCCTTTCCTGTCTTTCTCTTCTTCATTATCCCTCTCTTCTGTCCACTTCCTATGTAAGAGCTGTGCTGAAAGGATGAAAGGCTGATTTTGTGTCAGTCATGAATGGCCTCTGGGAACCATGTGTGCAGTATTCCCTTGATTAATTGTCTAGCCCTTACCCCTTACAGGAATCCTGAAGTGTAGACTGTTTCCTCATTTTTTACAGGCTCAGTATGGCCAATAATGATGTTTTACCCTTATTAGGGGCATTAAGGCTTGACCCTTCATCAATTAGCCTGTCTAAATTTGATTTCATTGGTTTCCCGAATCTTGCATCTCCTATGATCATGGCTCTGACTGATACTAATACCCCCTCCTCAATGTCTGCAATAAACTGTATCCATTCCAAACCATCCACCCAGGTCATTATTCAACCTTCAGAATACACCCCTTCCTCTCTCCCAACATCCTCTACTCCATCTTCTACTGCACAGTCTTCTTCATTGTCTACCCCCACACCCCTTATTACTACTCTTCATCCTTCTTCTTTTCACCTGTCCTCCTCTTAACAGTACTACCTCTCTCCATACCACCCCATCTTCCTCCCTCCCTCTTCCTTCTACTGCTTCCTCTACAAACCTTACAAAACCTACAGGCCATTCAGGACTGACACAAAGCCAGTCTTTTATCCTTTCAACACAGCTCTCATACCTTAGGAAGTGGACAGATGAAGGGGAAGAAGAGAAGAAAAAAAAAGAATGGGGAGAAGAAAAGACAATGCAAAATTATTTGCGGCGAGGGCTGTGGTAGGGGTGATCCCTTGCATTGGGCCTCAGTCTCTGTCTCCTATGTTACCTAAGTCTCCTCACAACAACAATGGGAGGAGGGTCAAAGATTGTGAGATTCAATATGCCACATTAAGTGGAAGTTAACCATTCATTCTAAAAGTTTACACAAGCAGCTAGTTAGAGCAATCAGGCGGTATTCTTGAGGGAGGGTACCCAATTTATTGAGTTTCAAGAAGGGGAGACAAAGGGTTTCGTGCCAGTGAGGAGAATTTACTGTCATCCAAATATGACTGAATATAGTTAACAGGAAGGACAGGAAGGACAGAAAGGAAGATGGGAAGTGCTGGAGTATAAAGTAATGAATCGCATTAGGGCCTTCGTGGGTGTTACAGCATGACTGAATGGCAGAGTGGAGTTCCGAGGAAGAAAAAGCATTATAGGACTCGGCAGAAAGACAGGAATATGGGAGTGCATTCTCTGATGGTCTTAATGGAAGGAAAGTGTGGTGAAAGGTGAGAGCCACTACTGACCTGGTTGGAATAATCCCCCAGCAAAAATGAGTTAAGGATTAGGATAAGTAGCCAGAACAAGGGGGTGAAGAAAAGGAAAAGGAAAGGAGGAGAAGAAAAGACCGCTGTGGACCAAAGTAGAGGCGACCTTCAACAACTTTGGGCCTCAATCCCCATCTCCTAAGCTCCCCCACGACAACAACGAGCAAGGGATTGGGGGCCATGAGGGGTAAGAGCTAGACAACTAAAAGGGAACACTGTACCCATGGCTCCCCTGAGGCTGTTCAGGACTGATCTAAAGCCAGCCTTTTATCTTTTCAACACAGCTCTCCTATCTTAAGAAGTGGATAGGAGAAGGGGTTGGAGCAGGAAAGGGGGGGGGAAAGGGAAAAAACCCAACACATGGCCTCAGTCTCCAGCTCCTATACCCCCCCCCCCCATGGCCACAATGGACATGGGTTAATGGGGGAGGAGGGGCTTAGGACAAAATCTTGGCTATCAAGTGTCTCCATATTCAGTTGTCATAACATCATTTGAAATTTAATGACCTTCATTAATAGCAGTAAAATATCAAGATGATAGAACTCATGGGAGCTGTTTTTGTAATAACTGCCATTTTTTAAAATATTTTTTATCTGCAGTAGCATGACAGAAATATTTAAGTAAATTTATGGGAAAGAAACCTATATAACCTGCTCTTTCTTTTGTATGTCTTTCCATTAAAGTATTTCAAATTAGAGGACAAACTGTATAATTGCAACTCTTGTTCAGCTCATTTACAAGTGTAATGGCTGTGTAGCTGAGGTAGCACATTTCAAAAAAACTTAAAATGTAGGAAGATAGAACCAGTACCTTATTCAATGGATAGTTTTTATAACCAAATTCCACAGATTACCTTGCAATGTAAAAGTCCACATAACTATATACTGGATATCAAGGAAACACACCAATTCTTATTCCTATTATATTTCAGAAGATATCGGACAAATATTGCTCTTCACCACACTAGAAATAGTATGTATCAGCAATATTTCTCAAGTTACAAAAAAAGATCTTCTAACTCGGAACTATTCATTCATAAAAACAGTGCTTAATGTTGAATCCTTTTCCCCCAAATCCTGCTATGGAAACAGGAAGGAAAAAATAAATGGAAAATGTGAATTCTTCATGAAACTGTACCCCTTAAATCGCACAGCTGACCCCATTTAGGTCTCCCATTTATGCTGGTTCGCCCTCGGCAACGATATGAGGCAGATCCTTGATTCCGTCCTTGGAGATGATTCTGACGCGGAATTTGGGAAGGTTGACCAAGAACCTTCGCTTGATCTCAGAGGTGCATTTCTTGAGAAGTTCATAGGCCTGTTCTTGGTTTAGGTCTGGAAAGTGGGTAAGGCATGATAATTTTTTCTTTCTTTCTGACTGGCATATCTATTACTTGAAAAGTTCCTGTTATATCTAAAATATCTGAGATAGTAATATATTTCCAAATATATCTGAAGGTCACCAAGAAAGTTATACATAAATTTTCTTCAACTGACAAACAGACCAAGCCCCTTGCCCTCCAAAACATAACAACAAATACAGACTACACATACAACAGACTTCATTCTACTGATAATTAATTTTAACATATATCTATTCCAAGAGCATTTCCTCTGGCAACTCACCAGGTCTGTATTCCTTGTCCATAATGGAGAGAGTGAACATGCCACCATATCCAAAGGCATAATATTTGACTGGCACAGATGCTGCCAGGTAATCCATGTAATGGAGTTCAGTTGTGTTGGTATTTGTGTCATAACCACCCATCAACAGGTTTACAAAATAGGGTTCCTGAAAAATATAAATTGATTTTGAGGCAGGTTATCAAAATGCAGTTAAAAAAATAAAACAATGCTGTGTGAGAGAGAGAGAGAGAGAGAGAGAGAGAGAGAGAGAGAGAGAGAGAGAGAGAGAGAGAGAGAGAGAGAGAGAGAGAGAGAGAGAGAGAGAGAAATATTTAGATATAGATAGATAGATACTCTATATTAACCCATGTAGATAGCTCTTCAAGTGTTTAGTCACCAAGGAGCCATATCAGTCATACCTATCTCACACCTGTTTACCCTTTTCCTTGATTTTTGGGAAAGTTTCTTATGTATTATTTCATTGTCTTTAATGTTACTAATATCAATGAGAATGATAACAGTATCGATATTAATAGCATTAGAAAGAAGAGAACATTTTCCCATAATTTCAAGGAATTGGGAAATCAGGAATGGTCATTAGAGCCTACTGATAAACTCTTTGCTAGCTGAGCACATGTGAAGCACATGTAACAAAATTCACAAAAAAAATTACAGAGGATAGTACATAAATCTGTGGTCAATGGGTTAACAGTTGTATTCATTTTTTTTCTGAGTGCATACATACTGCATACATCATATCAATTTTTAGACACCTTGTAAAAACCATAATGGGCAACATAATTATTACTAATTTTCAATGGGATTTTTTCAGAAACAAAAGATATGTAATTTAATAACTAAAATCAAAGCAGCACAGTATATATAAAACTACTCATGACAAAGTCCAATACAAAAAATTAAATAAAATCTTGTTATATTGTCACAACAAATGGCACATAACACCACCTAACTTACAAACACACTGAACTGAGATGTGCTAACTTTTGCTTTGGGGAGGATTTACAATTACTACTGTAACAATATACATAAAGCAGTACTAAGTCACAAATGAAGTTGATATTCTTACAGGTATATACTTGAACTTACATAATACTATAGACAAACTAATATGAATGAACTCACAACAAGCAAATTAATCTACTCGCATTCACAAAATGGAAAGTAAAAATAAAGACACCTATTCAGTGTTGGATATTGTCACTTAAACACATGCAATACTAATCACTGTTTGTGGGAGGTTTGAAGACCTGTACCTGTTCCTGAATGGATAACTCATAACTACACCATAATCTCAGGTTTATAATAACACCAAATGAAATAAGGCCGCAATACATACCCGAGAGCGCAGGTGTGTGGCAAGAGTGTGTCTTGTGAAGTGAACTGCAGCAGAGGGGGCCAATTCATAGCCGTTGCGCATCTTGTACAGCTGGATGTTCTTGGCAATGTACTCTGCAAACTGGGTTGTGTCTCCTGGCTCTCCAGACACTGCCATTACTAGGTTTGATGACATTTTGTACATCTTGTCGTCATCTGTTAGGAAGCAAAAAAGACCATTAATCAATCTCTTCGTAACATTACAATTTTATTTTTTCTGCTAGAATTTCAATACATGGGTACTTTAACTAAGGCATCTATAATATTTCCAATAAATACCACAGTAATATGGTACACACATTTGAAAGTCATAATAATAGTTCACTGAATAAGTCCATATATACTGGTAATTATGACTTAAGCTGCTTTCGGAACTGCTTGTCCAACTTGGATGATCAAGCAAACTAATTGTCTGGACACATCATCAACTTGAACCTCCAGAGAACAGGCCGAGTTCAACATTAATTTGTAAATAATGATGTCAGATGCCACAATGTACCATAGTTTTCATATAATAATTCCCTACCAACATGATTATAAAAAAATTGACTATAGCATTAAGCTTGTTTTTTACCAGCTGAGCACTGTATAGGCTCAGGGTTCTGAAAAGAAACAACCTGTCTATCCAAGTCCGCAAGTCATCCCTCAAAGCTGTAGGAGCAGTTCTGAACACAGAATAATTCACCGATTTGGAAAAATAATTAAGTCCTTGTTGATCAACAGGAAAGTTTGTACAATATCAAATGCTTACCTCCTTTCTGCACCATGATGCTCTGAAGATGGCTCATGTCTGTAGCCATCAATACAAAGTCATTGAACTTTGCACCTGTGGACATATGAGAATTATGATAAAATAAGGTAGCCTAACTCCTGGGACACAAGAGATGAATATTTGCTGTCTTTTGTCTGAGCAGCTATGGCACAGATGCTGTGTAAATAAAACAATAAAAAGAACAAGAAAACATAAAAATATACCAAACGCCTTTTCACTATTGTTATTTCAGGCATCTGAATAAGAAATTTAGTAAAAGGGCCTTCAGAATGCACATTTTTTTACTTTCTTTCTTTTCTTTTTTTTTCTCTGTCTTTTTCTTGGGGGGGGGGGGGGGGCTTCTGTTGTTTTATAAATAATTTGTTTAACATGAATCCCTTACACTTTATGCACAAGGTAAAAGGAAGGCCAAAATTTAATCTGTGAATCAGTGTATTAAGCAATACCTTGAACTTCACCATACATTCTGCCAAGATGGAGTGCAAACATCCATGGCAAATAATCAATATGTAATCAGTGCAAGCTTGATCTTGCTACGATATATGTCATGGAGATTTGTATCACCTGACATGGTTCTGTTCTGGATATTCTGATAAGAACACTGCAAAGGGGAAGCAACTCTTGTCTGTATGTGTCTGGCCCACAAGCCACACACAAAAGAAAGTGGCCATTTAAGTAAACCTAATGCCTGGATTTTGGGAAATAAAAACTTCAAAATACGCAAGAAATTCTGCATGTTGGCAGGGTAATTCTTTACAGTATGGATGCACTTACCAGAGACAGATGCCAGATTCAAGTCACAGTTTATTCAACAATCAAAGTTTCTATGACTGGGTGTCTGCCCCAATCCCCCTAGGGAACATTGTTTTCACATTAATATGCACAGCAAGATAGAGCTGAATCTCTGGAGCATGGAGTGGGTATTGGCAGTAATCTGCACTTTCCACAATTGTTTTCCTTAAAAAGATTACCATTCATGTTTCCAGATTATACCTTGTACTGATGATTATATATATTTTTTTGTTCTCAACAAAAATATTATCAATTTGCCCTAACTTAGTGCATCCATACCATAAAGATTTACCCCCGACAGTTCTAAAGTTATATATGAGAAATGTACGGAGTTCTAGAAGGATTGTGAAGTGCAAGAACAACTGTAATCAATTGATACAGACTTAATCTGGGTAATTACAAATGATAAAAAGGTCAGTATCAAATAAGTCCTTTGAACTAGCTAAAATGTAGGAAAACTGAATAATTAACCACATGAAAATAGCAAATATTGACAAATGATGGTTGGGTCTGACCTCCGATACCTTATCATTTTTTATCTATAGCTATGCTTAGAACTTTACACAACCGTATGGTACAAAAGCCATGTGGAGAGTAAGTAGACAGCAATAGGGTGGGGGTCTGGAGGCAAAGCTTCCACATTAGGAAGGTTTTTGGGGTAATTCTTTAGTGTCACATGGTCATCCAAGCTTAAAATTATTATTTCTGGTTTCAATTATGCACATTCTATCATGTATGAAGAGGACTTCTCCCTCAGACCCCAATGCAGATTATTTCTCGTATCAGTAGGCCTATTTTTTTCCATTTCTTTATGATACTGTCTTTAAATTTTCCTATTATGTATACCAAAATATTACTTGTTACACAATTTGCTTATTATCAACTTGTAAAGGAAATACCTTAAATACAAAGTATCTTATTTTCAGTCATTCTGCCCACGACAGGTAAAATTCATCTTGCCTACATGCCTGTG